ATAATTATTCATAACACTATTATCAGCATTGAAAAAGAAGAGACTTACAATTGAAAAGTCTTATAAAGTAAGAGAAATCATAGATACTTACAAATCAGATGATCTCACTTATTCTGATCTTTTCACAATTATAAGAAGAGAATGAGAAGAAATGAAGAAATCAGATAAATATCACACTTCAATAAGTGATGAGACTGTAACTGATTGTATGATAATGCACTGCAGACAGCAGATGCAACACAGCAAAGAGTGATCTCAAAGTAGCAGACTTGCATGTGAGTCAGATCACAGAAGAAAAAGAGATTCAGAGCTAGATTTAACTGTTTACACCAGTTCAATCACAGAGATCACAGAGGATGAACTATCTGAAACATCTGTAAATGCATAAGACTAAGTCATCTCAATTTCTAAGAACACTCAGAGATCAGATGAGATTAGTTTTAATGAACTATTCACTGTAGTGATCTGAGTGAGTGAAGAGAGACAGTATAATACATGAGACAGAATCACAAAAGATGAAAGCTGTTAAACCTAGTCACTGAACACTGTATTATATAGAGGTCGCATAAGAGTAGTAGCTAACAGATAAAGAAAAAGTGTAAGAAAAGAAAAGAGATAATGAATTGATTATCAACTGTAAGAATCAGCTGTAAAAGATAAATGTTATTATACACATCTTATTCATTTTTATACATCACATGTTTAATCTATTTTCAACATCACATCATCTGAAAAACATCAAAAACAAAGGAAATCTCAAAACTCAAGATTCATAAGAAATTTGAGGATTACAAGTCACTCTTACAACAATACTGTGCATGTCTTCAATTTCTCTATCACTCTGTGTATGACATTAATGTCATTTATTGCAAGATTGACTGGAATGCCAATATAGAAATGCACATGCATATGTGTAGAGAAATTGAAGAAGAGCGCGGAATCTGCAGAATCAGAAGCCAGGGCAGAGAGAATGAAGATGAAAGAAACAGAAGAAGAAGAAGATACAGAACTGAATGAATAATGACAGAAGTCACTCAGAACTGAACACTTATAATTCAGTGTATGTACAACCTTTCTCACAGAGAAGAAAGAGAAAGTGATGAGAGAAGCTTGAGAGTGAAAGAAAGTAGTCTCAGTAATGTTATCATCTTCAATCAGAATGACCTCTGATATCAGAGCAACTAAGAATCATTGTTAGTGTATGAAAATTATAAAATCAGAGATGAGAACAGTTACTGAATAAACACTCACTGATCTTAGAGTTATATGTATAATTACAACACACACAAGACTTCTCAGAAAGAGAGAGAGAGACACAGAGAAATGCAGAAAGTAGAATACAGTGTGTAAACAGCTCATTCTCATGACAATATCTCAGATAAGACATACAAGCCTCACACCTGTGAGTGTAAAAGAGTATGACATCTGCATTTTCATTTCTGAAAACATGGATATTCTTCACCTGTATTATGAAGTCAGACTATAAATATCAGAGAATAGGCTGATACAGATTGATCATACTGAAGATATTCATCAGAGTGAATGTATCTACAATATTGAATTTAATAGTTATGAAAAGTTTCTTAATATCTGTGAACATCACAACTTTATACACAGTAAAACTCATAATAATTTCTCCTAAGAACAGAAAAATCAGTGTCAGAAAGAAAAGATGAAAAAGAAAAAGACTTATAATCTTAATACTATTGAGAGAGAGAGTGATTCTCTGATATGAATAAACAATTGTCTCATTACAAATATTTAAAATGAATGTAATAATCAGCATTCATGACTGAGCTTCAGATAGTCATGTCATATACAGTCTTTGTACAATAAATTGTTCTAAGAGTCAGTAAGAAGAGTGAGAGTATATATACTGAGAGATGTGATTCATTAAGTCTACACAACATCTCCTTAAAACAGGGAGAGCTGGTAATGAAAGCAGAGATGATAAAATCAGAGAATGCAGGAACAGAGGTAGCAGGAGCGGGAGAATCAGACACAGAGATAAGTGTAGAAGATTGAAGAAGAGCAGCAGAGAAAGAAGCAGCAGAAGAGGCAGAGAGAGACACAGAAGATCTGATCATATATAACACAGATAATTCCTTCATTATCACATTCTTCAAGTTCTCAATCAATGATTCAACATCAGATTCACTATCATTGATGAATGCAGATCTGTCAACACATGAAGATTCTATATGAATAAAAACAAACATAGCAGCATCTGTGTTCATGCAAAATCATGTCAGAAAACACAATCAGAAACTCATTGAAGAAAACAGTCAGAGATGTATAAGAAGATGAAGAAGATATGTCATTCATAATAATACATTGTTCTGGCAATTATTAGAAGATAAACAAGTTCTGATCACATTTCACAATGCATTATACTTACTGCTAATAAACTGCCTGATATGAGCACTACAATGATGCTTGTTATGAGAATGAGAGATCATTGCCAGAAACATGTATAATGTGATAGATGAACAAATAGAGAGAGTTGAATAGAAGAAGAAGTAGAAATCTGAGATGATGATAACATTCAATGATGATGATAATGAAGATGATAATTGAAGAATGAGAAAAGTTAGTGAATGAGTGATGTAATATAGTGAAAGTTTCTTTGTGAGAGTATATGCAGAACTAGACTGACTGTGTGACTGTGTCTGAGACCAGGATCAAACTTTACAGTTATCACATTGCCTAAAAGTATTACTTCTGGTCATGGTTTGTGTTCATCACATTGATTTCAAATCCCGTTATTTCAAATATTAAAGATTTCAGATTCACTTTTCAAATAAAAATCTAGTCTCAGATAAAGAATATGTTTGAATTCTTAGTCACATTTTTATTCTGATCTCATTATTGAAAATGGCATTAAATGAGACTATGAAATCATTTCTCACTTACATAATATCATAACATAGTGCTCATTTGTTGAAAATTCAATAGAGAGTATTACTAAATATTATTACTTTTCTGAACACAGATCATAATTAATATCATTTTAATTAAAAAAAAATGTAAAATATAAAAAATAATAAAAAAATAAAAAATAAAACAACAAGAAAAAATCACAATAAAAAAAAAAAAAAGAAAAAGAAAAAAAGAAGAGAAAGAAAAAGACAGAAAGAGAAAGAAAAATAAAAAAAAAAAGAAAAGAAAAAGAAAAAAATAAAAAATAAAAACAAAGAAAAATCAAGATCACAGAGTCACAGCACTCTTAAAATACTTACTTCTCAGAGTCTTTGTAATGTTTATCATCAATTATGTATTTCTCACAGTGAGAATAACACAGTCATGATGAGTCATTGTCTTAACATCATTTAATAAATAATCAGTATATATCTATATAAATGTGAATAATTAGAAAATATACACTTAAAAAGTGTGATCAGGGTGAACTCTGCTATCACTTGAATGATATCAAGAGCAGAACACTGAAATCAATGATTTCTCTCATTAATTTCACAGACAAGATGTGTGAAGATGATCTTAAGAAATATAAGATTCTCTGACTTCTGATAGAAACAGATGTCATGAAGAGACTCTATTTTCATTATATCAGAGACTGAGTGTTATTAAAAAGTGTTACTTCAATGCACATGCACTTACTGCAGTGATTCACTCTCTGCATATATGACTGAGAGTTACAGCTTTCTCACACTGCACAGCTCTCTCTGAGATGCTGCTGCCAGTTTATAATTCACACAGTCTCTCAGTTCAGCACACACTGTGCATATACAGCCCTGCATGCTGAGACTGTGTTGATCATTATAATCTAGCATGATACTCACTTTTCACAGGCCATGTTTCATTTGATTGAGAAGAGAAGAGAAATGTAACTGCTGTTTTATTTAAGAAGAGATAAGTAATTGAATCTGTAGAAGATAATTTGATTTCTTCTATATTTGAAATTTGATTAGTCTATACTCTTCAATTTGAGAGTTTCTGAGAGTGTTTTAATAGTTTTCATATCAGCTTAGAATTAGTGATTGATTGAAGAAGAGAAAAGAGAGAAGAAAGAAATGAGAATAACTTATCTTTATAATATAAAAATAGAGAATTGCTGCAATCATTTGCTCTAGTAATAAAGATCTGTTTTCTGCACATATTTCTGATATAGATTATATAATAACTGTATATAAAGAATATCAACAGTGCATGTATTGAATGAAGATGATATTGCTATGCAATACTGTAGCTGTTTCTGTACATTGCTAAAAGCTGTTAATATTTTCTTTAAGTCTCTTTATATTTGATAAGTCAGTAATATATTTTAATACACTCTCTCTTTCATCATCATCATCATCATTATTATTATTATCATTATTATTATCATCATCATCATCACTATCATCATTATTATTACTATCATCATCATCACTATTATTATCATCATTATTATTATCATTATTATATCATTTCTGATTATCTCTTCTGCCTTCATCTCTCTTCAATACTCACTGAAATCAACTATATTATCTGTCTTCAAATATTCTGCAGTTCTGCAGATTATCAAGGCGCGTGAGCACTGTCACAGATTGAAGAAAGAGAAGAAGAAGATGTTTAAGCAAGAGAAGACAGATTGTAAGACATGTTATAATGTCTTGAAGAGGCTCTGTGAAAGAGACTAGAATGATAACAATTTTAAGTAATACTTCTAATAGATTTAGACTGAACTAAGTATAGAAATAATGTGAATAACATCACTTATAAGAGATTGAAGAAGAAGATAGTGAAGAGTCTTATACAGTAGCAGTGAGATCAGAAGAAGTTCTGAGAATAATTTAAGATCAAGATGAAGAGAGAAAGAGAGAAGAAGAGTGTTACTATAAATAAGCAGCAGCAGAAGAAGATTGAGAGAGTGTTAAAGTAGAAGATAAAGAAGCTAAAACTGATAAGTTTTGTATTTATTAAGAGATAATAATTTTTGATAATACTTCTATTCTCTAATTGATTAGCAGGAGCTGACAGAGAAGAAGGAGATTGAGGCCATGTTCAGGTCTCAAATGCACTTTGTGATTCAGAACATTGAGAAGACAGCTCTACTCTCTGAGCATGTCAATCTGCTTACTGCTGAGATGGAATCCAAGACAGCAGATCAGAAAATGCAGGATTTTGAGACACAGATTAATCTGACTGAGAGAGAGCAGCAGAAACCCTTCTCTAAGAAGATAGCAGAGAGAGATTTTGAGATGATTATCATCTCAGATGAGAAGAAGAAGAAGAAGAAGAAGAATAAGAAGTGAATTATGAAGAATAATAAGAAGAATGAGAAAGAGAAGAAAGATGATGAGTAGAAAAAGTTTTTTTCTTTTTATATTAGTTAGTTTAGTTGTAAGTTCATAATTATTAATAATTGAAATTAATTTTGAGTTTTTAAAAATTATTGTACAAGTTGTAATCAAGTCAGGAACAATATATATATATATATATATATTTAACTATCATGATTCATAAATCACTATAATGTATAAGTATCAACATTTTTTCAACATTAATATTCATAATATTAATATATTTTTAATGATATCATCTAATAATGTAATTTAGTAACACTCTCTTTTATAATATTAATATATTTTAAGAAATATAACAGAGATTAATCAAGATTATTTATTTACTTTTATACATCAATGATATTCAATCTGAGTTAGTACTAAAATTATAACTAAGCTAAGAAACAAGATTATTTTCTCTTATATTAATTCTTCTTATATACATCAGTGATTAGTTATTGAAAATAAATTATGATCTTTCTTAAATTATTATTATATCTGCTGAATTCATTTCTTCACTCTTTTACTTCTATTGAGATCATAAACTCT